CCTCCTCCCTCCTCCTCCTCCTCCTCCTCCTCCTCCTCCTCCTCCTCCTCCTCCTCCTCCTCCTCCTCCTCCTCCTCCCTCCTCCTCCTCCCTCCTCCTCCCTCCTCCTCCTCTCCTCCTCCTCCTCCTCCCCTCCTCCTCCTCCTCCTCCTCCTCCTCCTCCTCCTCCTCCTCCTCCTCCTCCTCCTCCTCCTCCTCCTCCTCCTCCTCCTCCTCCTCTGCCTCCGCCTCCTCCTCCTCCTCCTCCTCCTCGTCCTCCTCCTCCTAAGATTGCCGCGCCAAAAGGCGATGACAATCGTAGGGATGCGCCCTCAAAAAAAAGAGGGGAATCCCCCAGGATTGGCATCGTGACGAGGAGGTGCCCAGCATAGGGATGGGGATGTGTTCCAGGCCGGTTCTGGGTGCTCATCCTGGGGGCCTTTTCGGAGCCAGTCGCTCCGCTCGTGCGTCGAGGCTGCGTCGACCGTCCGTCGAGCCGGAGTCGAACCTGAGTCGAACGTGAGTCGAACTTGAGTCGAATTTGAGTCGAACTTGAGTCGAACCTGAGTCGACCTGGAATCGACCTGGAGTCGAACTGGAGTCGAACGGACCCATCAGGTGTGCCCCAGGAAGGTCCCCAAAACGAGCATCGGGCACTCCTGCTCCTGCCCCCCTCCTTCTAGTCTCTCTCGTGCTCCAGCCTTCTTCCTACCCCTTGTCCCTTCCATCCTCCCTCCCTTCCCCTGTTGTAGGGGCTGCGCCAACTGCTCGCGGCATGTAGGGAAGATATACTCCCCCAGAGGGGGCACGATCGAAGACGAAGAGGGCGGGTACCGAAGGGTTGGGATATGCATGGTGAGTGACACGCGAGCAGCTATGAGCAAATGTGTTAAAAATGGTTGTTATTGAATTCTTCTCTTCTACAAACCAAGTATTGTTGCCCCCTTTCCAATGCACATTGCGTTTTTCAACTGAGATGCCCCTTCCCGGGGATCCCACCCACTTTCTTACAAGGGAGAATATTGGGCGTCAGATAGAACCCCTCGCCACGAGGTTACAACAACATTAACAACGACCGTTCCCGTGTGATAACCTCTCAAGAAGTATTAAAGAATCGTGCTCCCGCTTCCATGCAATTCATCCAGGAGTCGACCTCTCGCCTGAGACTCCCTTGCAATGTATTGGAACATCGCTCCCCCGGCGCTCTGGAACCGTACTCTCGCTCGGGACTTCCTAAACATTTGCTCAGGGACCGCTGTCGCCTGAGACTTTCTTGCTATCCCCTATTCCGGAGCCTTCCTTTGCCCAACTCCCTTCCTTCTCGCTCTCTCCCGTTTCCGCTATGTCTGTGTTTCCTGTTTTTAAGGGCTGCGCCAAATACGCCGCGTGGCAGGGAGAGACGATATCCCCCCAAGGGGGAAGGTATGGTCAAGGAAGAAGAGGGCGAGCATGGAGGATTTGGGAGATAAGGGTTGTTGAATTCTCATTTCTGGAAACAATTATTGTTGATCCCCTCTGCACTGTGCACATTGCGTTGATTGAATTAAAATGCTTCTCCCGGGGCTCGCACCCTGTTGCTTTACCAACCAACGAAAATCGTGGTCCGCAAACTCTGTTGTTGGCCCTCGGTTTACAACAACAGCGGCTCCCGCTCGATACTTCCTTGCAATGTCAATGTCTTGCAAATTGGCGCGTTCGAGTGGGACTTCCTCTGGTTGTACGCAGGAATCGCGCTCTCGCGTGGTATTCCCTGGCAATGTATTGCGGCGCCGTGCCCCCAAGACTCAGGAATCATGCTCTCGTTTTGGAGCCTCTCACGATTTACTAAGAAATCGCGCTATCGCTCGACACTTCCTTGCCCTTCGCATTGGATTGACGCTTCAGCGACCCGCCTGCTCGTCCCGGCCATCTGGTCCCGCCCGCCCGACCCGCCCGTGAAGGTCCGCCCGCCCGACCGGTTCTGCACCCTGTATTCCTGCTCTGGACCCGCCTCCGGCAAATCTCCCTCGCGCTCCAACCTTCTCCCCTCCCATTGCCTCTTCCCTCCTCTCTCCCCTCCCCTGTTAGAAGGGACGCGCCAACTACTCGCAGCAGGCACGGAAGATATACCCCATAGGGGGCACGATTGAAGACCGAGAGGGCGGGCTCCGAGCTCCCAACTTAAAAAAAATAATTACGGTGGATCGGCCCAGGTGACACTTGTACTTTTCAATTGAAGGGCTCCTCCCGTGACCCGCACCCTGCTTTTTACAAGGGAAGGTCGGGGGTCACCAAAACTGCGTTGTTGGCTCACGGCTTACAGCGACAGCAGCAGCGGCTCCCGCCTGATACGTCCTCGCGACTGATTCCACAATCTCGCTCTCGCGTGGTACGTCTTCACACTTCATGCAGGAATCGCGCTCTAGCGGGACTTCCCCGCAATCTATTCAGACGCCGCGCCCTCAACACTCAGAAATCACGCTCTCGCTCTGGCCCTTGTCACGATTGACTTGGCAACCGCGCTATCGCTTGAGACCTCGCGATTCATGCAAGACCCACGCTTCAAGAACCCGCCTGCTCGACCTGGCCGCCTGGGCCTGGCTTCCCGACCCGCCCGTCAGGGTCTACCCGCCCGATCTGCCCGTCTGGTTCTGCCACGCGTTTTCTGCTCCTTGACCCCTCCTGCTACTCTCTCTCGTGCTGCGTCCTTCCCCGTATCCCTTCTATCCGTCCTCTCTTCCCCTGATTTAGGGGCTTCGTTAAACACATATGGCAGTTACCGAGGGTTTAGGATATACGAGTTAAATGGCACGCGAACAGATAAGAGCGAACAGTATCAAACTGATTGTTGTTGTTGCTGCTGTGATTCCCCCAGGAGGGGCACTGCAATTAAAAAAGAAGTGGGTGAAGGAAGGGCGGGGGGGATCAACACACATTAGCTTCAAACATGAAGAGTCAACAAGAACCCGCACCGCGGATCCCCGCTTTAGCCACGCACCCAGGGACGATGCAAGACCGTTCGCCCGCCTCACTCTGACAAGTCACAGGAAGGTTCGGAACACATTTTGGTGGGCCAATAGGCAGACCAGTACGCTTCGTCGCGGATCCAAGGTTTCAAGCGTCCCTGCAAGTTCTCACAGCTACGGCTGTGCGCAGCTGGAGGTACAGGCCAAGATGGGTCCCGAGAGGCGCCCGGGATCGGCTGGAGCATGTCTTCGGCGACCCCTCGTGCCAAGTTCCTTTGTCTGGGTGGTCGCTCTCGGCCTCGGGGGGGCCCTTCCTGCGGCCGAGGACCACACGAAAACGACCCTCGGGCGGGCGAGAGAGGGGGGGGCGACCCGAGCGAGGGGGCTGAGAAAGGGGGCCCCAGAGGGCCCCTCTGGGGCTCCGTCTTGGAGCTGGCAGGGGCCCCAGAGGGGCCCGAGAGGGGCCCCTGTGAAGAGCCCTGCTGTCCCCCCCCCGTGTGGGTCCCCCCCCCGGTTGCCGCCCGCCCGCACCTCGGGGCCGCGAGACGGGGGTTGGTCCACATCCACCGCCCGGGAGCCGGCATCTGGGAGCCCCAGCGGGCAGTGGACATGGACATATCTCGGCCCCTGGGGGCACGAATACGTGACTCCCCTCGAGGGGTCGAGACCTCTGTGTGCCCACGCCGCGAAAAACACGTCGCGACGCCACGTCGGTGGCCACGCGCCAGGCGAGCACAGGGCCCGCAAAGGCCACCTCTGCACGGCCACTGTGCCTTACGAGGGCCCTTCGTGAGCCCTTGACTCGGCGGCGGGCGCGGGGGCGGGGCTTCCCAGAAGGCTCGGGAGGCCTTCTGAGAAGCTTTCGAGAGCCCTGCCGCAGACACGGAACGCTTCTCAGAGGGCCCGAGGGCTTCTGAGAGGCCCCGCCGCTTCTTAGAAGGCCTGCTCCTTCGTACTTCCCCCCCAGGCGCACCGCCGATTTATCGAATCTGCTCCTTCCTGGTCGAGGCCAGTGAAGTCCACACACCGTCTTAGGACTCGGGATCTGAAGCCACGGCGCCCCGCCAACGGCACCATCGTCGGGGTCCCGTTGCCCAGGACAACTTTTAGACGTGCGGGTCAACCAAATCGGCATCGTCGCTCTGTGTGGTCTTCCGATTCGTGTTTCTTTTCACCGTCGTGCCATTGCATCGCGCCAATGTGCAACAGCAATGCTTGCAAGCCACCAAGAACTGCCACACCACAGACGTATGGTACACATCTGGAAACAAGGAGCCTGAAACAATGAGCGAAGCCCCTTCGGGACATCACTTGCGCGTAAATGCGTAGTGAACGCCGTAAAACAACTCAAGACATGACCCAACGAAACCAAAGCGACATAGCGCGGTCCTGATTGCAAAATGGTGGCTGCATATGATGGGCAAGCGTGCGCAAGCACACTCAAGCGGTGTCCAGCCAAGAACATGCACCAGATGTTCGGGACACCTCCTCAAAGCTAAGCAGGATGACGAAACCACAGGTATCCTGCCATGACTTCTCATCGCACCGTCGATACGCATCCGAGCTGCTCCAGTGCGAGACGCCATGCCGTCTTGTGACATAAGTCATGGGCAAACATCGGGAAAACACAAACACCCCCACCCGACTGTCAAAACCACCCCATCCCCATCGGCGCGCCCCGGAAACCGAGAACCCACCCAAGAAGTGCACCTACTGGAAGCACCGAATTTGGCTCCCGCCTGCATTCCGCCAGGGAAGACGGGGCAACCCCTCGGCCCCTCGAGGCCGAGGGCCTTCCTGGCACGGCCTCACTGTCGTCACCACCGCCGCCGTCAACTGCACTGCCACGGTCGTCGCCGTCGTTGCCACCGTCCATGATGCCACCATCAGGCCGAGATCATCACCGTGATTCAGAGGAACGGCCCGAAGGGGAAAGCAGAGGGGGCGGCTTCTCAGAAGGCCGAAGGGCTTCCGAGAAGCCCAGCCGCCGCCTGAAAAGGCATGCCTCTTCTCATTTCCCCCTATCAGGGGGCCGCCGAGTGATTCCTCCTCGACACATACGCAGACTGGACCAGCCTTCTCGTGGTCGGCCGCCGCTTCGATGCATGCGGACTGGCTCGACTTCAAGGCATCCTGTGCGAGCGCCAGGAGCTTGGCGACCACGCGCAGCTCCCCGTTCGTGCTGGCGAGGCGCTCCTGCTGCAATCAACTCATATGGCGGGCTCCGGAAACCCTGACCTCAAACATGTTGTCATCGCTTGAGGGCGCATCTTCTACTACCGACGCCTTCTGCCGACCTTCCGCCGCCTTCAACCACTGGATCCGCTTTCGTGATAATTCCGCCGCCTTCCGCCGACCTTCTGCCAGGGAAGAGATGTCAACCCTTCGGTCCTCGAAGGCAAGGGCATTTCTGGAGCGCCCCATATGCAGGCTCCAGATCCAAAAGAAAAACATGCCGAGCACTTTTGCCATTTAGCGCACGGCGTGCTTCTATCATGGGAGCCCAGCCTGCCGAGCAACAGCCACAAGCAAATACTCACTGAATGATATGATACGCAGCTCCGACGATTACCCCCGGGTCGATGCAGAGGAGGTTTGCGCAACGAGTGTACGCCAAGCGGCATCATCATGCAATAGCTGTGCTTCCACCTACTTACGTTTCGCCCGATGCGATATGCCTTCTCTTCAATCAGATCTCGCTATCCTTCTTACGTTCTCTGTGCTCGCCCATCTCCTTGGACGCAGACCGTAATCTCTAGCGAACGCAACTGAAAACTCCGGATCCTTACCTACGCCTCTACGGCCGCGGTTTTCTGACTACCGCGGTCTCACGGAAACCTCAGACACGATGTCGGCGACCAGGTGCTCTAGGAATGAGTGTTGACCACGCTCGCGCGAGCCAGTTCACACTATGTGCCGTGAGCGCGTGCGTGGTGGAAAAGTCCAATGGAAATCCGAGGAGGTACGAACCGCAGTTTGATAATGAAGGAGTGTCCGTCTGTATGTCCGTCTGTCTGTCGTCCCCACCTCCTTTGAACAACATTGTCATTCGGGAGTAGTGAATAAGGAGCCTTGCAACGCATTCGTCGGAGCTGGGGGCCGGCCGGGACATCTTGGTTCGCTTCCCAAAAATAATGTGCAACATGCGTCAGATGACGAGTCGAACAGCAGCTCCAGCGGTGAGTGCGGTATGGGATCCGATGGCAATTCACTCGTCGACACCTGGCCACGCCTTGTAGCGGATGCGTAAAGAAGTGGTTACTGGTGAAGGCCCCAAGACATTGCCCCCTCTCGCTCGAGGCATCCCCAGCCTCCAGCGCGGGGAAGCCTCGTGGACCTCCTCGATGGAGGTGGCCCCCCCCTGGTGGTGTTGGTGTCGCTTCTCCCCCTGCCAACATGCGCGCGCGCGTTCACAACGCTCATGTCAGGCGGCTGGCGCCTGTAGCGCGAGCCCCTGCCAGGAACGAGGGCGGACGCCCCCCGGCTCCCGCAGGACGCTCCGCCGTCGCGGCGCCGCCCACCAATCACGTGGCACACGAGCGTCCATCCTCCGCTTGGGTGACAAGCGCGAGATTAGAAACCCCCGTGCGTAGCCGGTGGAAGGAGGAAGAGGAAGAGCAAGCATCCCGGTTGGCGGTGCGTCCTGCGATGGGCCGCGCCCGACGCACCACCAGAGCCACTCAGGGCCTCGAGGAGGAAGAGGAGGAGGAGGCGGAGGACACCTGAGGCCGTGGGAGGCCAAACCAGGGCCCAAGGCGTCCGAGCACTTCGCGATCCCCGATCCTGCAGACATGGAAAGGCACCATCTCTTCCAGCTCAGGAAGTACCAGCAGGGCTCGATAACTGGCAGCCCCGTTGCTTGATAGGGGCCGCGCACGAAACCCTGCAACAGAACTCGCCGCCCGCACAAAGAACATGCCCATGGGGAAACCCATGCGCATTCGTGGGCCAATTCCACTCTCGTGGAGTGTCCAGCATCGATGTTCCAGCTCCTTAGCGGGGCCAGGAAGTGCCTCGGGCGGACGTCTGGTCCTTCCCAAGGACAGTGGGTGCTGGCATTCAAAACGGTTGACGCCACCCTTCAATGCCGCCTGCATTCACCCCTTCATTGCCGGTACCCATACCGCTACTCCCTGGACGTCTCCTGGGGTGCGCTCTGCCAAGAACTCTTCGGAGCGGAGCCTGCGAGGGGCGGTGCGACGAGGGCCTCCGAGGAGGCCCTCAAGAAGGCGAAAACGACGAAGGGTAGCGGCTTAGGCACCTTTTTGAAGGGGCCCAGGGGCACACACACAAATAAATACACACAAATCCAAGTATTCATCCCTATTTTCCCACATTGATTGGATCTTCGTCGTCCCCCCCCACTTCCCATATTTTCCCGTATGTTCTATGGGATCGACAATGACTTGTGTCTGTGTGTGTTTTTCCCCTCCTGACTTTCCTCCTCCGAGCCCAGGGGTGCAGCCCCCACGGCGAGCACCGCGCCGCCCGAAGTGCAGCATCTTCAATCTTCGTATTCTTCCGCTGCCGCGGGGGAGGAGCATAACTGAGCAGGCGCAAGTGGCGGTGCGCACAAGGGGGTGGAGGGGAGGGGGAGGGCTTCTTAGAAGGAGGCTGCTTCTTAGAAGGCGCCGGCCTCACATCTGCAGAGAAGGCCCGCGCCTTCTAAGAAGCAGGGGTGCTTCTAAGAGGCCCTCCCCCCTCCCCCCGCCCCCCCCCGTGCGCGTGGCCGAAGCAGGGCCTCCGCAGGCCGCTGGCCCAGGGAGGGCCCTAAAGGCGCGCAACAGCCTCGTTCCTCGAGGCTCGAAAGCAGGGAAAGGAGTCGGCTACGGGCAAGAGGACCTTTGGTGCGCAGCTCTTGGGGAGCTTGGGGGAACCAGCCACGAGCACGCAAGAAGCTACTATCGCACATCGCTCGGCGATCGGAGGACCCCCATGGGCGCGCACCAACAAGGTCACTCCGGCGAAGGGCCACTCCTACGTGTGACAGGAAACGCATAGTGACCACCACCTGGAGGGGGTCGGGAGTGGTGGTGTACACCCTTTCGAGCGCTCCCACGGGGCACCCTGCAAACCTTGAGATCCTGGCCTTGCAACTTCGTCACGCCGCGTTGTCGCCCGGCTTCGGCCCGGGGCCCCTAACGGGCCGGCCCGGCCCTGGACATGACGCTGAACGATGGGGTCTACGGCGCTGGCCGTGACTTGCCGCGCTGCTGCACTTGTTTCTTGACGTCGAGTCTCAAGGAGCCCGCATCCCGCAGACCAAGTCATCCCGCACCAGGCCTAGCTGGTGGTGGTGCGCCTCTCCCTTGCTATACAGCGAGCGATCATAGTGATCCGTACCGATAGCAAGGGCCAGCCCAGGGCGGCGCACGACCAACCACCTACGCCACCTGGGCTGGCTGGGGGACGAGGGGAGGCGCAAGCGGGCGCGGGGGGGTAAGAGAGGCTGGGCGCCGCCTGATGACGCCACCGGCCGAGCCGTGGTCGTCCAGCGGCGCCACGCGCAGCGCGCGCGGAGTCGCGCTCGCCGCTCTCTCTCTATCCCTCTCCGCGCCTTTCCCTTGCTGGAGCATGATGACGGAGGAGGGCGAGGGCGCGGACGACAGGCCGCGCTCCCGTCCTGGCTCGCCGACATCTCGGACTTGACCTCCGCGAGCTCCGTCCCGGCGTTCGCCGACGACCTCTCCACCGACGCCTTCAGGAGCCGGAAGTTGTGGAGCGCCTCCGCCTCGGTCGCGCGCACCTGCGTCGGCAGGAGGGCGACGAGGAGGAGGACTACACTCGACTGGGATAGTAAGGATGCGCGGTAAGGATGCGAGGGCCTTGGAACGCCATGTTGACGTTTTCCGTGCGGAGCGCAGCATAATGCCGAAGGATGCCGAATACCGAAGGGGCAAGGATGCAAGGGTAGCCTTGGAAAGTTGACCCATCCTTCCTATCATGGTTGTCTGTAGTGGCAGGACAAGGGGTGGCTTGGTGGGACTGGGAGGTCCGCTCGGACACAGCACGCCTCCGCCTCAGCGCCTTGGGGGGCTTTCACCTCGCCGCCGCCCGTGAGTAATTGAGCGCCTCGGGGGCACCCCGTGCGCCCGCTGGCTCTGGCACGTTGTCGCTCCGTCCCCACCTGTGGGCGCACCGCACCGTGCGCTGGGCGGCTCTGTAAAACAACGCAGGTGTTTGTCCTGTGCAAAGTTGAAAATACTGCGCGTCGGCAGCCCGGAAGGTAGGACAAACTTCGAGCAGCAAGCTTGCGAAAGTTGCCCCCCCCCCCCCCCCCCCTCCCCTCCCTCCCCCCTTCCCCCTTCCCCCCCCCCCCCCCTTGGGGCCCAACTCTCTTAAAGTCTTCGCGAGCCCCTGCCTCGCCTGCTGGCTTGTCGCCCCGTCGCCGCCCGTGGGCCCCCCCGTGCGCCGAGCTGGCTGTTTTGCGGGGCCTTTTTCGCCCGGTCGCCGCCCGTCCTGGCGCCTCGCCGCCGCCCGCACGGCCTGCACCGCACGGCCTGTGCCGCGCAGCGCGCACGGCGTGCGCTGCGACTGCACCACGTCGCCTGCGGCACGTCGCTGGCAACACATCGGTTCTCCTTCCAAGGGGAAGATGAACTCCACCACGCACTCCCGGACGTATCGATTCCCCCTGGCGCACTGCAGCCTAGAGGTGGTTATCTCCCGCCGTTCGTTGTCCATAGAAGCAGTCCTACCATCCCAGCCAAGCCGGCGTCGCCACCTCATCCTTGTCAAACAATACCATGCGCCAGCATGCGTTTATCTCAAAGGAGGATTGCGCAATAACCCATTGCAATATGACAAAACACACATAACGTCCACGCGCGCGCATATGTCGGAATCGTATCAAACACATGTTCGTCAGCGTGGATCCCAAACGGCAGCTTCCTACAACCGATGTAGTGCGACCTAGGTAGTGCAATGAATGTGGTGCAATCGATGTGGTGCAATTAATTTTTGCTCGCAGTGAAGTGTCAACTCCACTCACTCATCGCACAATCATCGCACCCATCCACCCACAGCTTGGTTTGTAAAATCCATGCGGCGCGACTACGATGATTGCTTGGCGTTGGCTGGTGGATGTCAGCGGCCGCGCTAGCCCGCGCATGCTCGCGCGCGCAGTGGCCCGATAGTGTGGCGCGACCGACGTGACCGCGGTGGCGCTGACCACTGGGGACTTCCCAACGGGCACTTCAGTGCGAATGGGTGACTTGGGTGGGCGCGGTATCATGGGGACGTCGACAACAGTAGGCGCGATGATGATGCTAGCGGTGATGGTGTCGATGGTGACGATGAGTACAAACGATGGCGCCGATGCTGATCACGCCGATGGCGATGATGACGTCCTCGCGTCGGTGATGAGCGTTTTGGAAGGAGTTCGACATACGCGCGCGGCCGGCGCGGGCGAGTGGCCCGCACACTGCTATTTGACACGGGTCATGCCCCCCAAGCACGCGCGCAAACGTGTTCGAATGACTTCGACATGCGGCGCGAAAGGCCCGCCTGGTCGAATGTGATGTACATGTTGGAAAACTGGAATTCGCAAGAGCGCGCGCATGCTTTTCTGAAAACTGATATTGCAAAACCGCATGCCTTTATGTGATTCCGGGGCGCTCGATGTTGAAACCCTTGCGACACCCAAGATGTTTCAAATATTCTGGCATGCGCGCGCGACGACGCGCGCGTGCGCACATCGTCCCATTTGTTGCAGGGGATTCTTGCGACAGCAAGCGCGCAAGGGCGTTCGAACGATTTTCACATGAGCGCTTGAGAGGCCCGCTTGGACGAATGGATGGACATGTTGACACCAATGGTTTCCTTCAGAATTCGCAGGAGCGCGCGCTTTGTTTTTTGCTCTGAAGATGCCTGTTGCGAAACCATTGGTTGTTGTAAGTTTGCGGGGCACTCGATTTTGAAAACCTTACGACACCTACTGTTTTTTTAGAGATTTGGGCATGTTCGCGCGACGACGTGCGCGTGCGCACTTGGTCCCATGTTTTGCAAGGGGTTCCTTGAAACTGATAGTTTTTGCTAAATGAATATGGACGCGCACTAACAGTTGCCAAGGGTGAGGGGTGCGATAAGGGTTTGCCTGGCATGGTATGAACTCATAGCTAGGGTGGACGATGGGGCAGAGTCATGTTCAAATTGCAATATGAAAGTGCAGTGCGTTAAGTCCGAGGGGGGAGGTAGATCCTCATACTCTTTCAGGGAAGAGAAGCTATGTGGTGCATGTGGCGCAGCGCCATGGAAAGCAATGTAACTCAACACGCAATAAGGCAACGCAGTGCAACACAACTGCAGTACACTTGCAACGCAATGCAATGCGAAAGAACGCAACGTAAAGCATGCAAACACAAGCATTGCAACGCAATGCTAAGCAGTGGAAAGCACGGCAAACCAATCCAATGCGATTGCAATGTCATGCAACGCAATGAAAGTCAATGCGAAGCAATGAAAACAATGCGAAGCAATGCAACCCAATGCAGAGCACTGCGCCGCGAACCAATGCAAATGTTTGGCAATCTATCCTTGAACAACTGAGCTCGTTTGCACGGGGTTATTGGCAACTGGTGACTTTTGATAAACGAGCGCGCGCATAATGATTTCAGCAGGGGGTGAACGGGGGGCCGATACTGGCCTGGCTGGGATGATATCGTCTCACATTTAGCATGGACGATGGAGCTGAATTATATGCAACTTGCAACACGAACAAGGAGGGGTTTAATCTGGAGGGGGGGGTAGATCCGAATACTCATTTAGAAAGAGGAATCTATGCGGCGACGGGGAGACGACGGGGCGGCGACGGCGACCGCGGAGCTGCCAGACCGCCAGCCAGGCCCAGACGACGGGCAGCGACGAGGCGGCGATAGGGCGGCGACGGCGAGCACGGAGCCGCCGGACTGCCACCCCCCCCCCCCAGGCGACGGGCAGCGGCCAGGCGGCGACGGGGCGGCGACGGCGCACACCGCGCCGCCAGACCGACAATCTCTCCCCCCAAATCACAGGCGGCGACGAGGCGGCGACGGGGCGGCGACGGGGAGCACCGAGCCGCCAGACCCACCGTGCCTCCTGCTTCCCGAGGGCACACATGAGCAGCCCCAAGTACAAGCACGGTTTGGGGAACCTGGGCATTCCATTGCAAACCTTGGGAGGTTACCTGCCCGCGCGGGCTTGCTGAACTCAAGGAAGAGCCATCTGATGTCAACACCCCCGTTCAGAACCCGCATTTCTTGTCTCACCACGCGCTGCATCCGCGCTGATCTAGGTTGCACCTTCTGCGCGACTCCGTACCAAACACTTTCATGCGATCTACACGTGCGCGCCACCATGCGCGCGTGTGGTTGTCGAAGCATCTCAAGATACAGCTCTTCACGCACATACGAAGCAACCCCTGCTTTCCAATAGCCGTCTGCCGAGCTCCTTGACTTTCTGAACGCGCACTTGCCCCACCATCACCCTCATCAGCGCTATCGCATCACCGCCGTTATCGGGATCGCCAATGGTCGCCATTGCCACCATCATCAATAATAAATCACCTTTGTCACCGACGCATGGACATCATTCATCATCGTCATCGTCGCTGCCAACTACGGCACCGTCATTGGCCTTGCCGCCGTCATCGGCATCATCGCCACCACCATCGCTACTATCATCGTCATTGCCGCCGTTGTCGACGGACGGCGTCTCGGCCGCATCAGTTGTGACAAACCACCTGGCCGCTCTGTTCGGGGAACAAAAAGTGGCATAAACATAAAAGCTCGGAGGTCAGCGCGGATTTCTCGGATCGGCGCTGGGGCCCCCCGGCGGCGCCTCCGGCGCCGCCCCTGGCGCGCTCCGCGCGCAGGGAGGGGGGTCCAGCGCCGATCCGAAAAGTCCGCGCGGACCTCCGAGTTTTTATGTTTATGTCACGTTTTGTTCCCCTATCTGTGCGCGAGGGTGCGCGCGCCAGCCCGGCCGCAGAGGTGCGGCTGCCGGTGCCGTGCAGTTCCTGAACTCGCGGCTGCATGGCTTCTGCAAACAAGATGCGGGTGGGAGGGTGGGGTGTTTGAGCGAGCAGTGGAGTGGACGATCCAGAATTGACCTGGCTGGTTGCACGACGCGTCTTGCACCACATGGCTGGCACCGCATAGCATGCACTGTACAAGCTGCACCCAACAGCTTGCGCAGTGTTCCTAATGAGTCTTACCTTGTTGTGAGATCGGGGGGGGGGGGCAGACATCCCCCCTCCAACACAAACAAAATGCCCCCCGCATCGCATCCCTGGTCCCAAGGAGCCCCTGGACGCCGCCTGCAAAGGGCACCTCGTGCCCTCAGAGCTTCCCGGGCGCTTCTACCTCTACCGGGCCTGGCCCAGGGGCCCAGATCGGTCAGGGGGGCGGCCGTTTGGCCCCGCGAGAGCCCCACGCGGCCGCAGACACCCACCCAACACAAGCCAGAAGACGGCCCCCCAAAGAAGACACCCCAAGAGGCCGTTCAAACTGTGCGAATTTGGGGTAATCGAGTCTTCAGTCTTCCATGCTTCTGAGACCGCCCAAGACGCCCTGAAAAACTCACCACAACGGGCCAAAAGAGAATCCAGGCAGTCCAAGAGAGCCCCATGTCGGCCCCACAAGGCCCAAGACGACCCGAAGAGGCCCAATGATGCGCAGGAGGCCTCCCAAGTCCCGCCCAGAAGCTGTCGTGAGGCCCCGAAGAGACCCTTCAAGGAGGAGCCACCGCAAACACTGGCAAGGAAGACAAGGGCATGCTCGCAGGGAGGGGTCAGAGCGAGACGAGGAGGATCACGACGAGAACGATAACGAGAACAATGATTTCATAGTATTATCACTATCCCCATCCTCATCCTCAAACTTATCATTAGTAATACTGATATATTATTTGTTTGTTGTTCTCTCTCTCTCATCCCGCCTACCCGCGAAACTTGAGGGGTCAAGGTGCATGGCGCGAAACGCCATTGCAGCATCGTGTGTAAATATACTTAGCCGCCGCCGTGCTGCGGGGCGCGAGTTGGAGTGCGGCACGGTGGGGCTCTCTATCGACCCCCCTCAGGGACTCTTTAACCCCACGGTTTTTTCCCCCACACCAGCCCTGCATCCCGAACGGTCTGCCTGACGGCCCAGGGACCCGTGGGGGGCCCCAGGGCAGCCCGAAGGCGGCGAGGAGAGCTCCCCAGAGGACTCCTCTGCTCCAGGACCGGCTCCCTTCGCGCCAAGAGGTGGCTGTCGTCGCCGCCGCCGTCGTCACGTCGTCTGTAGCGCTCTGCCGTCGGTGCCGCCAGGCGCCATCGTCGTCGTTGTTGTCGTCGTCGCTGTCGTCGTCGTCGTCGTCGTCGTCGTCGTCGTCGTCGTCGCCGCCGCCGTCATTGGGGAAACCAAGGGATCCAAATAACGCCACTTCCTGGACCTCTCCCGGGGTGCGCTCTGACCAGACTGTCGAGGCGAATCTGGCCGTGGCGACGAGAGCCTCCCAGGGGGCCCAAGAGGGCGAAAGGAGGGCAGCGATATCGGTCCTTCGAAGAACGAGCGACCGCATAGACATAAACTGTCGGAGCGCCGCGCGGACTTATTGGATCGGCACTGGACCCCGTACGTGGCGCGCGGAGCGCGCCAGGGGCGGCGCAGGAGGCGCCGCCAGTGGGGCTCAGCGTCGATCCAAGAAATCCGCGCGGAGCTCCGACATGTTATGCCCATGCACCTTTGGAGCGGTTTCTTATTCGGCGTTTCGACATTGGGCTCCGGACCTCTGCTTAACGCGACGGCTTGCAACAGGGCGTCCAGTATGGGGAGGCTCCACCTGCTCGCCACGGGCGCGGAGAAACAGCCGAGCCCACTCCAAAGGGAGGGGGAGGATGGGGGGGTACGAGGGCCCGTGCCAATCGGCAAACCAGTGGAGAAAAAAACGATCACCTTTCTCTCCTTCAGTTCTCCTTGTCTGAGCCGTCGCCGCCGCCGCCGCCGCCGTGAAAAAGCCCAGGCCTTCTCGAGCTGCTCCGCGGCCTTGCCCCTCATGTCCTCCATGACCTCGGAGCCCGCTGCGTCTCGTTCACGACAACGCTCGGGTCGGTACTAAGGAACATACGTGAGGTACTAAGGATTCGAGCCCCAGTCGAAGGGAAGACACAGGAACATACGCAATACACAGAAAGGATTCGAGCCCCAATCGAGGGGCAATCCATAGGAAAAGACGTAGAACACAAGGGATCCGAGCCCCGTGGTTGGGGCTACCGTGCGGGCGCGGCCGCAAGAAACCCTCGCAAGAAACCCAACCCTGAGAACCCGTACGCGGGGTGCACCTGAGGGGAAACCAGGAGCACCCTGAGCGCAGCGGCTTCTTCAGCGGCTGCGGGAAGTCACCGCGCAGCACGAGGAGCGAAGAAACCCAGGATACCCAGACGAAAAGCATATGGTTTCTTGATGCGCGCCAGAACTGTAGGTTGCTCCCACCGTACTTGAGGACCACATCCCAGAAATACTTTCGAGCACCCCCGAAAAGTGTCGAAGCAGTGTCGAAACAGTGTCGGACGAGTGTGTCCCAGGGCCCGACGCGTGAAAACCCTCGAGTTTCGGTACTTTCTCGGAGTTCGTTTTTTCTTGCGATCAAGACTAAAATAAGTTGGAACATCAGAAGACAACGCCCGTAACCAGCCCCGCCCCATTCCCCCTCGTTCCCTGGTAGAGGCCTCCTAGGCCGGAGGATAGCGCCGCATCGGCGACGTTCTCGATGCACTGGCGACGTCGGCGTGAAGAAACTCGGGCTCCGCATCGGGCCGCATCGTCGATGCATCGGCGATGCGGCGCGATCCTCGGACCCCATGTGCTCGGACCCGATCTGGAATGCATAGAGTTGTGTCTTGCTCACGACAACGCCTGTGACCAGCCCAGCCCCACTCCCCCTCCTCCCCGGGTCCCGTCACGATTCGCGCCAGCGCCGTGCGGAAGTGGCCACCCTGTTGGCATCCCCAGACGGCACCGGTGCGAATCACGACGTGACCAGTCCTCCTCCTCCTCCTCCTCCTCCTCCTCCTCCTCCTCCGCCTCCTCCTCCTCCTCCTCCTCCGCCTCCTTCTCCTCCTCCTCCTCCTCCTCCCTCCTCCTCCTCCTCCTCCCTCCATCCCCCGCCCCCAGCCACGCCTGTTCCCAGACATCTGGCGTCCCAATGTTTTCGAGGCACGGGCCCCCGACCTCTCGGTGGGTGGCAACGGGGGGTGGCCCAAAGGAGGGGTGGAGAAAAGGAGCCCTGCAGGGCTCCTTTTGGGAACCAACGGGTTCCAAAAGGGGCCCTCAAGGGCCCCTGTATGGTCCATTTCTTTACCCCCCATCTGTGTCCATTTCTTAACCCCCTATCTGTGTCCATTTCTTAACCCCCTTTCTGGGCGGAACCAAAGGGCCCCTTTATGGTCCATTTCTTTACCCCCCATCTGGGTCACCCCCCACTACCGGCTGCCCGACCGACCTCTCGACCGTCGTGGGGACCCGTTTCGCACCCCGAGTCATCTTTTGACGGTCCCGAGGCCAAGTAAAACGCACCGAGAATCTGAAACTTGTGAGAAACCTCCGTTCGGGGATCCACTGACCCAGGTCAATTCATACCCAGGTCAGTCGTCAGTCAGGCTTTGCAGGATCCTGCAAAATCCTGCAGGATCCTCCAAAATCCTACAGGATCCTGCGCCCAAGCCGGGGTCAGTGTAACCCTGGCTCTGCAAAATCCTGCAAGATCTGGCGCTCTGACTGACTCCCGTTTGCCTTGGTCCCCGTCTTTTGAGCCCCGATCTGTCTCGATTCTTCCGAGACGCTGGACGTCTGGGCCATCGTCAGGGAGTAAGCGGCGCTCCCTAGATGGAGTCGGAGTGGATGGGGTCGGGGGATAGAGCCGCATCGCCGATCCGTCGACGTTGCATCGGCGATACATCGGCGACGTCGACGTGAAGCAAATCGGGCTCCACATCGAGCCGCCTCGGGCTATGCATGGGCGATGCGGCGCGGTCCTCAAATACTTGACAAAATGGTCCCCAGACTATTCTTGGACTCTTTCTGAAGATTCCCCCTGTAGGGGGACAGGCCCGACTCAAAGCTACTCCGAGCACGTCCAGGAGGCCTGTAAAGCAGCAGCGCTCTCCTGGCCATCGATCGGACGTCCATTCCCTGTGCTTTTTTCCCAACCATCCTGTGGTGTTGGGTCCTCGCTTTGAAGAGACGGTGCCCCGCGTCTCCTTCCTCCTCCTCTCCTCCTCCGCCTCCTCTCCCCTCCTATCATCCTCATCGTCATCATCATCATCATCGTCATCATCATCATTATCATCATCATTCCCAACCATCCTGTGGTGTTGGGTCCTCGTTTTGAAGAGACGGTGCCCCGCGTTCCTCTCCTCTCCTCCCCTCTCCTCTCCTCTCCTCTCCTCTCCTCTCCTCTCCTCTCCTCTCCTCTCCTCCTCTCCTCCCCTCCTCTCCTCCTCTCCTCTTCACCCACCCAGTACACCGCTTCGTGGCTCCATAGGGAGCTCCACCGAAGGCCCCAGTGCCCGCGCCCGCATGCGTCACCCACACCCATTTCGGCACACCCCTCACACGTTTCGTGGCTCCATAGGGAGCTCCACCGAAGGCCCCAGTGCCCGCGCCCGCATGCGTCACCCACACCCATTTCGGCACACCCCTCACACGTTTCGTGGCTCCATAGGGAGCTCCACCGAAGGCCCCAGTGCCCGCGCCCGCATGCGTCACCCACATTTCGGCACACCCCTCACACGTTTCGTGGCTCCATAGGGAGCTCCACCGAAGGCCCCAGTGCCCGCGCCCGCATGCGTCACCCACACCCATTTCGGCACACCCCTCACACGTTTCGTGGCTCCATAGGGAGCTCCACCGAAGGCCCCAGTGCCCGCGCCCACATGCGTCACCCACACCCATTTCGGCACACCCCTCACACGCTTCGTGGCTCAATAGGGAGCTCCGCCGAAGGCCCCAGTGCCCGCTCCCGCATGCGTCACCCACACCCATTTCGGCACACCCCTCACACGTTTCGTGGCTCCATAGGGAACTCCACCGAAGGCCCCAGTGCCCGCGCCCACATGCGTCACCCACACCCATTTCGGCACACCCCTCGCACGTTTCGTGGCTCCATCGGGAACTCCACCGATTGCCCCAGTGCTGCCGCCCGCATGCGTCACCCACATCCAATTCGGCACACCCCTCACACGTTTCGTGGCCCCATAAGAGCTCCGCCGAAGGCCCCAGTGCTGCCGCCCGCATGCGTCACCCACACACAATTCGGCACACCCCTCACACGTTTCGTGGCCCCATAGTAGAAGCTCCGCCGAAGGCCCCCAGTTTGCGGCGCGCACGAAGCGGTGCAGGAGGGAGGCGACGGCCCTCGCCAGGGAGCTCGGCTTCACCGAGTTTATCCGCGAGGCCTGACCTGAGGAGCGTCTCCCCCGAGCCGCGCCTTCTCTCGACTGCCCGACTAATTGTTTGGCCTCGCGCCGCGGACGACCCGCGCGCGTCGCTGGGACCCTCTCGGGGCGACCAGCGCGCGTCGCGGGAACTCCGTGCTGCGGGCCGCCCGGCTCCTCGTTCGCCTATCGTCGCTCTGCCCAGCGGTCAGAGATTTGCCCGCTATCAGCCAGCCAGTTAGCTAGCCAGCTCTCTCTGCTCCGCGCAGCGGACGACCCGCGCGCGTCGCTGGGACCCCGCCTGGAGCGACCGGCGCGCGTCGCGGGGACTCCGCGCTGCGCCGCGCCCGCAGCCTTGGATTTTTGGAATGCGCGGGCAAAGAGGAAGGAAAAGAACGCACGAAAGCGGGCGCGATCCTCGCAAGGGGCGCGCCGACATGGGGGTCGCGGCGTGCGGGCGCTGCCGTGGGGGTTCCCGCGGAAGCTGCCTGCGACGGCCACGCCCAGTGTCACGAGTGTTCGGACAGGCATGCTCGAGCCAGTCACATTCATTTACATTCACATTAGGCGTAGCCCTGATCGCATTCATGCAAATATACTCGCACGCAGGCCCATTCACATTCAGACCCACTCGCGCCCTGACTCGCCCGCGTTTATTCTTTCGTAATCAAACCTATCGTATTCCTTTGCGTTGTGTACCCCGCCACAGTTCGGCACACCCCTCATACGGTTCGTGGCCCCATAGGGAGCGCCACCGAAGAAAATACTCACAATTGCGGTACTCGCAACTTCATATGGTTGGGTCCTTCGCCAGGCTAATTTCGGTTTCGTGCGTGGTTTTTTCGCCACATGGTCAAGGATGCTCCTCGATGGTCCTCGCCGAAGGGGAACATGCACATTCCGTGTCGAAAACATAAGGAAAGCCCGAGGCAAGCTGTGAAACACTCAAGGAACGCGGAACCCCTCCCCAACGAAAAGGGTTCCTTCTTCAGGGCCCCGACTGTATACTCCAGATTTCGTAATAAAGGGAGGGGGGTCTCATTTCGGGGGGGGTCTCTTCCAGGCTATCTTGGAGGGCCTGGGGGGTCTGGGGACGACGTTTTGGAGGGTCCTCCCACGGGGGAGGTCTGAAATGGCTTGTCTTGGAGGGTCCAGACCCCCTCCCTTTTGTTACGAAATCTGGAGTGCACACTAATAAGAATATTCCCCACTATTTTCCTATGGTTTCTGGGCTTTTGTATTCCCCCTCCCACACTTCCCATACTTTCCCATATTTTCTTGGGAATCGACGATTCGTTGTGTCTGTGTGTGTGTGTTTTTCCCCTCCTGAGCTATGCTCAAGTCGGGCGTGTCCCCCTGGGGGGGACTGTGCTTAATAGGGGGCAGACAAACCTACCTCGCTTTTGACCACCCTCGCTTCCAAGAGATGCCAAGCGATGCCAAGCTACGGCCTGTACTGGTCAGGCCGCTTGACGGGGAGGCGTGGTATGATTTGGTTTTGCCTGGAAGGGAAAACGGGGTAGGTAATTCACGCTCTGACTTAAGTCGGCTCGTTGGGGGGCCCGGGGGGGGGGGGGCTGTGCTTCATTCGGGATGACGGTTAACAAATTATCCTGGCGAAGGACCCAGCCATAT